TCTTTCTTTCTTTCTTTCTTTCTTTCTTTCTTTCTTTCTTTCTTTCTTTTTTCTTTCTTCAAGGTGGACATCCTCAAGGGATCCTTCACGAAAAAGGATCAGATATGGTAAAGAAGCAGAAAGCACAGCTTGTTCTCTTCTAGGAAACCCCTCCCAAACATCACCGGACAGAAAGGGTGTAGGGTCTTCTGCTTAGGAAGGGGGGGTTGGACTAGATGACCTACAAGGCCCCTTCCAACTCTGTTAGTCTGTAATCTAATGTGAAAAAAAAATAGATTTCTTTCATGGTTGTTGGGGTTAAACAGAGCCAATCCTTATTAAGGTGTTGACTTGGGCAGGATGTTCTTTCTACACATGATCTGCCTGAGAACGAGCACCATGGAAATCAACCAAACGAATGCACAGTACTGGAGACGGAGTACTGAATTCTCTATGCTGAACTTAGCCCCACTGTTTTCTCCAGGCCTTGCTCTCCCAGATAAACCTGCCTAGTAGAAGGTGTAGTTGTTCTTGGCTCATGTCCATCTTCTTCAGGTCTGAAGGCGCCCTACCAGGCTTCCACCAGGGCTTCCAAGGCCCATCTGTCAAACACTAAAGGCAAGAAATAATTCCTGTGGCTGATGGGAGAAGATCATAACAGGGTTGGAAGGGGCCTTGGAGGTCTTCCAGTCGGATCCCATGCTCCAGCAGGAAACCCTATAACATTTCGGACAAACGGTTGTCCGATCTCTTTTGGCGGGGGGCGGGGGGGGGGACGACGGACAAAAACACTCCGTTGTTGTTTAAAACCTTCTTAAAGGATTCAACTTTCCTGCCTTGGTCGCACGACCAACCTCGCCTTCTGACATCCCCCGGACTCCCGTGTCCAAGCCTTACCTGGATGTCCTTCTCCGACGGATTCCGACGTGAACATGAACGCCCCTTGCTCTTCATTCAGCGTGTGGTCCTGCAGGCAATCTAAAGTCCCGTTCATGATGGATTTTCGGACGAATTTCTTTGGGGCAGGAGGCAGGGGGAGAAGGCGGCTGGTTCCCGGAGGGAAGAAGATCTCGGTGAGGTAGTCGATGTCCCCCTCTTTCTAAAGGCAGAGCGGGGCGAGCGGGGCTGTCCCTAGTCCAGGCGCGCGGAGCCGTTCCAAATTCCCAGCTGGCTGCGTAAAAGCGCGTCGTTAGCCACCTTCCCTTGCTCGCCCTCGCGGGAGCTGTCACGCTGCCTGGCCTCTATATATGGAAAAGCGAAAATGCCTCGCTCATCATGTGAGGAGCACGGAAGAGCCCATTCCCTGGCAGGGTGGAGGGGAAACTGGCCACGCGGGGGGGGGAGAAGAGAGAGAGAGAGAAAGCAAGCAAGCAGCAGCCGAGCGCTCTCCTGGCACCAAAATTTCCGCCCAAAATTTCCTGGCAAAGGAGCAAGGATGCACCCGAGCTCTCGCCGCGGTTCCGAAAAGGGCCCGTCCACCCCGTCGCTCCTCTCTCTCTCACATACACACACACACACACATACCCCTCCCCTCCTTGAAGGAGGACGGAAAGCGAGGAAGGAGTCCTGCTCTCTCTCGCCACCCTCAGGTCCGCCAGGTTTTGTATAAGGAGCCGGATTAAATGGAGCGGGTGGCTCGGTTCTGTTTCGCCTAAGGCGCCCGGCTGATGCAATTGGGGAGGAGGGGGCAGTGAGCTGCAAAGTCACGGACGGCCCCGGGGGGGGGGGGGGCAGCGCAAAGTTCAAAGGATCTGGGTGTGTAGGATGTCCGGGTTTTAGGGACGCAAGAGTGGATGGCCCTGAAGTTAGGGAGTCGTGTATTTCTCTCTCTCTTTCTCTCACACACACACACTTTGAGAAAGGTTAGAACGTGAGCACCGCTGGTCTTAACTCCGAGGGTTGAGTAGATGCAGTAGAAGAACGCGATTCGAATCGTGTCTGGATTAGTTTTCCTCCCGAGGGAAAACTCCTTTTTTGCCAAGCGCAAAGGGAGGGGAACCAACCAAGCTACCAACGAATGCATTCATAAATTTTGAGAAATTGGGAAATGCAGGCAAAAATGCGTGCATAAGCGCGCCAACGTGCCTACCGTCCCTGTTCCGTTGTTTCTTTTTATTTTTCTTGTATGTATCCATTTCATGGATACATAACTTTGTTTATTCTTATACCTATTCTTATAATCGCTTGACAAATAAATAAAAATAAATAAAAAGAATTCAGATGAGCCAAATGGTGTTATTAACGATTTATACAACTCCCTTCTAGCATTGATGATGTTACCTAGTTGGGCCCTGAAATGTCTGCAAGGAAACAACCAAGTTTAGAGAGCACCAAGGACCCCACAGTCCACCACCTCCTCCTCCTCCATCATCACTGGAGGTTTTTAAGAAGAGACTTGGACAGCCACCTGTCTGGAATGGTATAGGGTCTCCTGCTTGAGCAGGGGGCTGGCCTAGAAGACCTCCAAGGCCCCTTCCAGCTCTATTCTGATTCTCCTCCTCCTTCTTTCCCCTTCTTCTCCTCCTCCTCCATGCCCTGCTCTTCTCCTTCCTCCAATCCACAAACCCCACTCCCTTCTAGCACCATCCCTTCTAGATGATGCTCCCTAGTTGAATAATGAAACATCTGCAAGGAAACCCCCAAACTCAGAGAGCACCAAGGATGCCATGGTTCAACCCTGAGCTACAAATATTCTCTTCTGTTGACATATAACTTTTATTCTGACTTTTTACCATCACCGAAAGCTCACCTAAGAGATGATGGGAAGGAAGAACGGTTTTTAACTAACGCCAGTACATATGTAAACTTTGGGATGGCTTTGGGGCTGTAAGTGAAATTCAATCGAATGGAGATTCTAGCATTTCTAGGTGCTAAGGGGCCTCTTTGCACTTTGGAAAGACAAATACAGGGGTGTCTAATTAAATGTATGCTCTGGTCACAGCTTCTTCTCCAAAGTGACCCAAGGTCCAGAGAAAAAATGACAAGCTCCTGCTTTAAAGGTTTGACTGCATTCCGCAGAAATTCAACCCTACCTTGTAACATTTTCTCTGGCCAATCGAGGCCCTTATAACTTTTCCCAGATACTTATCATCATCAAGAAAAGAATGAAATCAATCTAATATCTTGGCCTCACAGGAGATGGGGCAAGATGAGCCTGGAATGTGCCTCCCTTTCCAAAAAGAAGCAGAGCTGGAAAAACCTGAAATGGTTTCATGTCCATTCAGCATGTTATTTAATTCATGTTGAAAGCCTCACAATATGTCTTTCATATCCTCCGGACCACGGAAAAACTTCTCTCCATGAAACCAGTCCCTGGTGCCCAAAAGATTGGGGGAAATTGTCCTAGTGAACAACCACTTAAGGATGAGCCAGCTGTGTGGGGCAGCAGCCCCCCAAAAAACTAATATGATCCTGGGTTGTATGAACAGAGGCATAGAATCAAGATTACATGAAGTACTGATACCGTTTTGTAAAGCCTTAGTAAGGCCGGACCTTGAATACTGCATCAATTCTGGTCACAAGAATAGAAAAAAAAAGATGTTGAGACTTTGGAAAAAAGTGCAGAGAAGAACAACTAAGATGATTAAAGGCCTGGAGACTAAAATATATGAAAAATGGTTGCAGGATTTGGGTATGACCACTCTAGAGAAAAGAAGGATGATAGAGGACAAGTCTTCCAATTTTTGAGGGGCTGCCACAAAGAAGAGGGGGTCAAATTATTCTCCAAAGCACCTGAAGGCAGGACAAGAAGCAATGGGTGGAAACTAATCAAGGAGCGAGGCAACCTGGAACTAAGCAGAAATTTCCTGACAGTTAGAACAATTAACCAGTGGAAGGTCTTGCCTTCAGAAGTTATGGGTGCTTCATCCCTGTCCACAGAGACTGGACATCCATTTGTCTGAAATGGTCTAGGGTCTCCTGCCTGAGCAGGGGGTTGGACTAGAAGACCTCCGAGGTCCCTTCCAACTCTAATATTTTATGTTCTATGGGTCACCGTTAGCTTTGGGTGGATTTGCAACTCTGTTCCTATTTCAAAGGAAGATTGTTTTCTTTCCAGAAACGGGCTGTGAAACCTTCTCAATGGCTGGGGTAAACAAATAAACAGGAAGGTCTCAACAGCTGCCAGACCTGTGGTTGGAGCTAGACAAATTAATACAACTCTGCAAAGCATTGGAAAGACATTCTGTGGAATGAACCTCAGCACGGAATGAAGGGCTTCTCTCAGAAGCGTGGGCCAGGACCACACAGCTGCTTGCAAGACTGTCCTGGGTTAATTCTCCATGCCTCCAAAATGCATTGGGGGGAACCTTCAAACATCTGCAAGGATTGAACATAGATTTCAAACTGAACTCTAGGAAAGAACTTATAGTTGGTGGTATTAATTTAACCTACGTTTCTTCCTCTTTAAGATCTGGTTTACTTTTCTTGGTGACTTTCTCTTAAAAAAAAAATTAAAAAGCTTGCATTTGGTTGAAGCTTTCCTTCTTTTTGTTCCTACATTAAAAGATTCTTTTTTTGGAGTGGTGGGGGGGAATTCGGGCCAGAAGAATTTGTGTGGCCTCCAGTGATTGGACCTAAGGAAAGTCCAAACGTTATTGGCTTTATTAGGTTAATCCATGGATTGCCTTTCTTCCCATATTAGCAATCAAGTCAACAACATTACAGTCCAATATATAAAGCACAGCTAAACCACCTGTTGTAAGTTGAGGACTGCCTGTGGTTTAACGGGTTAAAAAAAAAAGATTGGCGGTAGAGATGCATCCTTGCAATTTTCTCCAATCCTGGGTGAGTGGAAGCCCAAAGCCCCTTCTTAAGAGGGGGGTCACACTGGAGAAGGGTTTCTCTCATGCATTAAGTAGCTAAGCTTTGGCAAGCAGTCATTTTTTTTTTCCAGATCGGCTCTCCTGCTGATCTAAGCAACCCAGGAATGTCCTCGGTGTGGATCCAATATCTCTAATCAAATGTGTTGCAGATGTCCCAAGCGTTGCCATGTGCTTAGCCAATGACCCCTCTCCAAAAAACAATCATTCCCTGCACCCACCCCCCAATCACGGGCAGTTTGCAGTTCTCAACTGAATAAATAAATCCACCCCACTGCCTTCCTTCCTCTTTGACTCAGCTCTTTCTCTCTCTCTCTCTCTCTTTTTGCTCCTGGTGGTGGCAAAAACAACGTGGAAGTGAGATAATCATGAACCAAAGAGGTGTGTCCCGATCCAGCCAATTACTCGGGAATGAAACACTGCTGGGGAGGTGGGAAGGAATGGAAAGAAATGGTTGGTCAGCTTCTCACCAAACATTCCTGGGAGGCGAGGTTTCAAGTCCAAGAATTGTTTGACATCAGATTTATTTCCGTGCTTTGCTACTGGACTCGTTTCACTTTTCACCCCAGCTGTTTCTTCCTCCATCAGTCAAACCTGCTGCATTCCAGTTGGACATTTATGGTCCAAGGAGATGCTGAGCCATTGTGGCATTTTACTTAGGAAGGAACTTCTCTGTGTCTGAGACTCTCAGTCATACAGGATGTGCCAAAGGTGCTTTTTTTTTTCCCCAAGAAGCAACTGGGCTTCCTTGGTTTTTCCTTGAAAATATTTGTCTTCTCATCCAAAAAGAACTGAAGAAGCTGCTTGGATGAGAAGGGAAATGACTTCAAGGGGAAAATCAAGGAAGTCCTATTGCCTCTGGCGGGGAGGGGGAAACATCTTTGAGACAACTATGACCTGGAGGACTGAGGTTCTCCCCAGACCAAATTAACAAAACCAGCATCAGAGTTCATAATTTTAGCTTCCTAGTCTGGTTTTCCTTCTGAAGGGCTGATGCCAGCATTATTCGCAATTGCTTATGAAGGCAGGAATGGCTGCTGGGTTCTCTCTTCTCATTATTGGTTTGGGAGAAGCAATCCTGGTTTGTTCATGAGAGGAAGAGACGGGGCTTTAACACATACTTTAACAGATTAACTGACTTGGAAGGGACCTTGGAGGTCATCTAGTCTAAGCAGGAGACCCTACACCATTTCTGACAGAGGTCAGTCCAGTCTCTTCTTGAAAGCCTCCAGGGATGAAGTTCCCACAACTTCTGGAGACAACTTCAGTTCCATGGGTTGATGGTTCTCCCCGTCAGAAAATTTTTCCTTATTTCTGGGTTAAACCTCTCCTTGTTCAGTTTCCATCCATTATTCTTTGCCTGGCCTTCGGGGGCTCCAACAGTGGAGGTTTTTAAGAAGAGATTGGAGAACCGTTTGTCTGGAATGGTCTAGGCTTTCCTGCCTGAGCAGAGGGTTGGACTAGAAGACCTCTGAGGTCCCTTCCGATTCTGTTATTCTTTTTTTTTTTTTTTGGCTGCAGAGACACATGCAGGCTTCCCCAGAGCATGCTTTCTGCTTCTTTTAGCCACTTTTTGAGGCGTTTGCACTCACCCAATCGTCCCCAGTGGGAAAATGGGGGAAAGTTAAAATGCTTAACTCTTTCAAGCTGGAAAAATGGCATGGGCATCCCAGAAGGGCCCTTCCTGTGTGTGCCAAAGAACATTGTTTGTTAAAGCTTTCCTCTCCCTTGAAGGACACGAGCAGCGTTGTCCTCTTCTGACCCCAAACGAACCTGGAATCAGTGGGGACAATCGGCAATGCTCACTGATCATCTCTGCCATTGGTTGACCCCTGTCTCCTCTTACGGAAACTCCCACCCACCTGAGTGGCTCTCAGCCAATCGGAGAGCCCTTCATAGCAATCCGTTAAGCAAAGAGCAGCTTTCTAAACTCAGACGAAGAACCAGATCCAGTTTGATCTGGTCCAAACCCTCAGATCAAAGGAGCAGGTCATAACAGGTAATCTTCAAGTTATGACACAGTTGAGCCCAAAGTTTCTGTTTGCTAAGCGAAACTTGAGTGGGGTTTTCCCCCCCCCCTTCCTTTTATGTCCTTTCTCGCCACGATTGTTAAGTTAGGAAGACGGTTGTTCAGTGAATCTGGCTTCCCTGTGGATTTGGCTTGTCTGGGGATCAGGCAACCACGGGACACTGCAACCATCATAATATGAACCCCTTTCCAAGCATTGAATTTTGATTGTGCCCACCCAGGGATGCCGAAACAGTTGTGTGAAAAACAGGTCCTAAGTCCCTTTTTTCGGTGCTGTTCAGGGGTGGAATTCAAAATATTTTAGTACTGGTTCTGGGGGCGCACGGAGCGTTTGAAAACTGGCAATTTTAAGCATGGAAACTGACCTTACCGTCAGTGCTGGTGAGTAAAACAGCTGAGGTGTGGCAATCCCCTCTGCTGCGCCTTTCAGCTGAGCTGGAAACAAAGGAAATATAGGACAGGAAAGGGTGGGGCAGATGGGCGGGGCCAATTGCTGAGCGGCGCAACCGGATAACTAGAACCGGTGTGAACTGGCAGCATCCCATCACTGCTGTCGTCGTAAATTTCAACGGTCACTATGCGTGCTGCTATAAGTTGAGAACTACCTGCCCCAAAGGTGCCTTTCCCCCCCGCCCCCAAAGGCAACTGGACTTTGCTTGAAGTCATTTCGCTTCTCATCCAAGAAGCTTCTTCAGTTCTGACTTCAGATCTGAAGAAGCTTCTTGGTTGAGAATCAAAACATCTTCAAGGACAAAAATAAGGTCCAGTTGCCTTTTGGTGTGGGGTGAGGGAAAGCACCATGAGCTGGATAACTGAGAATCTCCATGGATTTTGAGGACTCCCTCAATTCCCTCTGGCGTCAGTCAGGCTCATCTTATCATGCCTTGGTAACCTATTTCTTAAGGCCATTATTAAAAAAGTGAGCAGCTGATGATCTGGAAAATCTGTGGTGTAGATGCTTTTCTGCTTTTTTAAAAACAATTCTGAAAAATAAATCTTTTACTTTTAGATGTGGACTCAGGGGCATAACTGGAGATCTTTGGGTTAGTCCCAAGTCAAAGTTTTCATCCTGCCCCCTGCCCACCCACTCCCACCCACATCCGTTGATGAAATTGCTCAAGCGTGGAGTTCCCTCTGGGCCGTAACAATTGAGAAGGGGCTGTAAAAACTTAAGTCAGACAGTGGATTGCTTTTCTCCTCCAGCAGCAGGTCTGATCTTTCACAAGACTCTCTCCCCTTCTCTGTCACTCCCTTTAAGATTGGGGTCACCTCCTCTTCTTTTCCATACTATTTCTGGATTGCAAAAGTTCAGGTGTCCACTAGATGGCATCAAAGCACTCGAAGATTGCTGAAGCACTTTGCTGCTGTCCAGTGGTGATTCCACAGCATTGCAGCCCGGCTCGAAGAGAGTAACAGAATAACAGAATTGGAAGGCACCTTGTAGGTGCTTTTTTTTTCAAGAGGCAACTGGACTTTCTGGTTTTTCTTTGAAGGCATTTCCCTCCTCATCCAAGAAGTTCCTCTGAAGGGAGCTAAGAAGCTTCTTGGCTTAGAAGCGAAACATCTTCAAAGAAAAACCAGGAAATCCGTTTGCCTCTTGAAAAAGCACCTTTGAGACAACCATGACCTGGAGGACTGAGAATCTCCATAGATGACAAGGGACCCTGAAGTCTTCTTCTCCATGCTCCTGCTCAAGCAGAAGACCCTATTCCATCCTGGATAAATGGTGTCTAATTTCTTCTTCAACCCCTCCAGTAGTTGAGCATCCACAACTGCTGAGGGCAAGTTGTTCCATTGATTAATTGTTCTCACTGTCAGGACATTTCTCCTTAGTTAGTCTCCATCCATTGTTTCTTGTCCTGCCTTCAGGTGCTTTGGAGAGCAGCTTGACTCCATCCTCTTTGAGGCAGCCCTTCAAATATTGGAGCACTGCTGTCATGTCACCCTTAGCCTTTCTCTTCTCATGAGACAAGATAGACTCCATTGCTGTGACTGCTCTTCATATATTTTCACCTCCAGCCCCCTAATCATCTTTGCGGCTCTTCTCCAGAGGTGGAATTTGGCCAGTTTGGACCAGTTCTCGTGTGCTGGTAGTGAAAATTTTGAGTAGTTTGGAGAACTGGCAAATAACCACCTCTGGCTGGCCCCACCCCTGCCCCACCATTACCTCTCCTATATTCTTTTGTTTTATTTAGCTCAGCTGGTTTGTGAAGCAGAGCGGATTGCCCTGTCTCAGCTGAGTTAAAAAACAGCCCAGCTTGTTAGGAATCTATCCACCAATTAGTTGCATTGGCAATATATAAACCAGCAATGTATGTTTGTAGCTTTAAGACAAAATCACTGTATTGATTTGCACTGTATTGATTTGTGTGTTCCGATTGGTTGATTGTATTGCAGATTGCCATAAGAGGGAGCTAGAGATCATGGTTTGCTCTCTCTGACATGCTCTATCTCTGACATTCTGTTGCTATCTAAGGTTCTCTGCTGTGCTTATACATTGATATCTTTGTTTACTGTAAATGACAAAGAAAACTGGTAAGAAGACTTTGTAATTGGATATTCTTTGGACTGTAAAACGTATATGACCTGGACCATTTATTGGACTGTGCTAGTTCTTAAAGTAAACTTTAACTCAGTTCAGTGTAGCTGTGTGTAGCTGGATAATTATTCATAACTACTCTCATAAACGTTTCCATGTTCCTCAAGGGTTATTCTGTACATATCATAACACAGCTCATCAGCATTGATAGAGAGGGTGGCCTTTGAGCTTTGCGCGCTCTCTGAACCAGTAGGGAAAACTCTGGGAAGCCGCCACTGCTCTTCTCGGCACTCTTTCTATAGCCTGAACATCTTTTTGGTATCGTGGCAACCAAAACTGGACGCTGTATTCCAAGCATGGCCTTATTTCCAAGGCCTTACAAAGTGATATTAACCCTTCACGTGATCTTGATTCTCTCCCTCTGCTGATGCAGCCTAGGACGGCATTGGGTTTTTTGGGCAGCTGCTGGCTCCTGCTTAGGATAGCTGTGTGATACCTCTGATCACTGTGATCATTATCAGCAATAACTAAGATAGGTTTTTACTGAATGTGATCAGGATTGTCCAAGACTTGAGGCTGGCATGAGTAGCAAGGGAAACTCCCTGCGTTTGGAGACCCCCAGGCAGCTGCCTCTCCTGCCTTATTTATAGCACTGCATGGATTCTGATCCTCGGTATCAGCCTGGCTGGTTAAACACCTTCATTGAATCCAGCTTCATTCTGGGCTCCCTATCAGTTTTCACCCTGCTCAGATCTGGTCAGATGGCAACAGCTGTGAGAGATATATAACTATCCATGCATTCTTTACAGTGGTCGTGCGTGCAGGACGTCTCAGGTTCAGCTAGATGAACCTGCTAGAATTAGTCGGAGGGAAGGAAGGAGAACCGAAATATATATAATATTTGCATTTTGATACCAGCGCCCCAAACATCCTCCTAATTATACCTGGATGATGTCAGGGCAGCCTTCTCCAAAACACGCCCTCCGGGTGCATGGAAATGTCAAAACAGTGGCAGCAAATTCATCAACATTACTTTTCCTCCAGTATCTGTACGCCAGCTCTAATTTTGCCATTCCCTGTTTTGAACATTCTGTTTCACTGCTTAGGGATAAGGGAGTCCTAAGAGTGGAAAATTTGACGTTACAGGAAAGTGGATCTGGAATAAATGAGGTGGGTGAGAGACTTTCCAAGAGCAGGACCATTTTGACAGAACAACCAGTTCTTTGGACAGCTTGTGGTCTACTGTTCATAAATTGTGTCCGGGAGTTCAAGTTTAGCACTGATGATGTTACCTAGTTGGGTCATGAAATGCCTGCAAGAAAACAATCAAGCTCAGAGAGCACCAGGGAGCCCTCTTCTTCTTCCTCCTCCTCCTCTTCCTCCTCCACCACCACCTCCTCCTCCACTTCCTCCTCCTCCTCTCCCCCATTTTACAAACCCCACTCCCTTGTAGCACTGATGATGTTATCTATTGGGTCATGAAACATCTGCAACAAAACAATTGAGCTTAGAGAGTACCAGGGACCCCACAGTCATCTTCCTCCTCCTCCTCCTCTCCCCCTTTCATTTTTCCTCCACTCCACACACACCCTCCCTTCTGGCGCTTAACTAGTTGGGTAATGAAACGTCTGCAAGAAAACAACCAAGCCCACAGACCCCACAATTACACGGACATATTAATTCACCTCTTAAAGTTGAAAGTGACTCTAAGAAACTCCACTTAGATTTGAGATTGACTCTTAAGATTTTATAATTACCATCCTTGTCATTATATCTTCCAATAAAAAAAAAAAAGCATGAAGCATGTTAGGCTGCAATTTAAGGGGTTTTTTTTATAATCTTTTTCAATTCACTTAACTGTATTAACTCATTCTAAGTCTCTTGGATGGGTTTCATCCTCGTTTTCAGAAAATCATGATGGTTCTGGAATAGACAGGAGCAGGTTTATTGTTCTTCCTCCGAGTCGACAACAGTAGTGAAGGCATGCTAAAAAAAAAGAGAGAGAGAAAAAAGGGGGAAAGAGAAAGACTGAGGCGATTTTGTAGGATTATTGGAATTTGTAAAGGCACCCTGATTATTTATTTATTTCTGTAACATCTTTTGATGCCACCACAATAAAAAGAAACAAAATGCAGCTTGCATTTTTTTAAAAGTACAAATTAAGGCATCCACGGGGGGGATGGGGGTGGGGGAATAAAAAGAAACAACCACGAAGAGAATGCAACAGTGAAAAAAATGTACAGCCTTAGAGAAGTATGAGAGAGAATTGCAGAGAGAAATTATGGCTGCCAGTAGCTTTCTTCATGTTTTGGTTCTTAAAGTTTGAATGAAACACAGGTAGTCCTCGACTTAGATCAGTTCGTGAAATGAAGTCACAACATCACTGAAAAAAGGGGACACGACTATTTTTCACACTTATGACCATCCCTGC